GAGGCCCTACGAGTATGGCCCGAGCCCACCAACACCACGGACGTTCGTTCATTCATGGGATTGGCGGGCTACTATCAACGATTCATCACCGGATACTCTTTGGTTGCTCTACGGAACTTATTACCACTGAAGTTGTACGGTTTTAGTAATTAAAAAATGGGGCCAGCCTGACTGTTATATGCTGAGCCTGCACACGGGCCCCATTTTGAGGGCCCGACGGTTGCCGGGGGTCCCCAGGCCGCACGCCCTTCGGACATGCGCCCTGGAGGCCCACGGCCGGCCTTAGGGCCGCAGGATTCGATTTGAGGCAGCATTATTTATTTATCTATTTGCTGTCCTATTTTGTCTGTTCAGGCGCCGTTTCCGACTTGCAGTTCGTCCGAACAGACTTTTGGTCTGTTCGGACACGGCCACGTTTTTGGCCTGGTACGGACGTAAGCAGGCCCTGTTGGGCCAGGTCCACTTTTGTCCGAGAGCGGACACTCCCTGCTGCATCAGCAGGGAGGGCCTGGTTGTCCGGTAGGGACCCAGGCAGGCCGTTTTAGGCCTAGGACCAGAGGCACACGGAGGCACACCCGCAAGGCCCAGCGCTACTTAAAGCTGGGCCAGGCCAGGGCAGACACACAGCTCGGGTAGCTCACTTCTTGGGCGACATGCTGCTGGAGAAGCGTGACATAGCGCCGAGCTAGGTGTAGAGGCGTAGGTAGGAGGTGAAGCGGAGGCTATACCTGCTGAGGTGGTACTTACCTGGGCGCCATAGCTGGACTCCACGCCAGCAACCTGCACATAGAGACACGCCGACGGCAGTTAGTACATGGGGCCAGTTACCTGCAGGTAAGACAGCGAGGAGGACGACATCTTCTTCTTATTCTTCTTCTTTTTTTTCTTTTTTTTTTTTAAATCATGGTCCTGGCTCCTTCTATTCTGGGGAGCGCCAGTCCGGTTCCTATTCCACGGGCAAGTCGGAATTATACACAACAATTAAGACACACTCATGCTTCGTTCCGTCTGGCCGAAGGACCCCTGAGCAGCATTGATTACTCCGTCTTGACGGAGGATTGACTGTCAACTTGCCATGACACCCTCTCTCCTCTCAGACCTGGTGGCTAGGTCTGTCAGATAGTTCTATGTTCCTAGAAAGAGTTTGCCCCGTTGTCTTGTCTTTCCCTTGTACTTCCTTTTATCCATCCTTACCCGAGAGCCACCCTGTCCCCTGCCCGAAATTTCTCAACCCTCTCTGAAAATCCCTTAAACCCTTAATCCCTAAACCCTCGACTACTATCCTGCTCTATGACACCCTTGCTAACGTCTCATCCACCCCTCGTGGATGTATGATCATGGAATGTCTTGTCCACCCGCAGTTGTCTGTTGCTGGTGAATCCTTCCTAGGGTTGAGTTATGCCACTCTTTCCAGCAAATACGGTCTTCTCGTAGCTCCGCAATCTTGCCATTTATCAACCAGTTCTTGCTGAAGGTCAATCTCTCCTTCTTTCGTTGTTTGTTACATCTTCGACGCCGCACGGGTCCTACCGGACCCGACATAGGGTAGAGGGACACAGTAGGGCCAAGGGCCCGACCTTGGGGTACTACAGGCCGTAAAGGCCTTACCTTGGACTAGACCCGACGGGCCGGCCCAAACGATGTTACCGTTTGGGCCTGGCGGCGCTCGTGAGGCTGCCGCCCGCCGGTTGGGGCTGAACCGTCCATCTGGACGGTTCAGGGCACGGTCATGCCTTGCAGCATAGAGGCCGACCTCTGCCCACCGGTACAAAGGTACCGGTCCAGCCTCAGTGAGGCTATCGACCCACCGGTATTCTACGCGGTGCGGTAAGGTCGGCGCCAGAGCGCCGTTTGAGCGCTATTCTTAGCGCAGGAGGAAGGACAGCAGCAGCGCGAGCTAGCGCAGCGGCAGCAGCGAGCGAGGACAGCAGCAGCAGCATGGCGGCCATCGCCGCCTCAGCAGCAGCAGGGCAGGTACCAGGAGGCGAGGATCTCTTCCTCCCTCCACGGTCCCGTTCCCCTCCTCCTCACCTCCGTCTTCTCTCTCTCTCTCTCTCTCTCTCTCTCTCTCTCT